ACACGGATTGCAGTTGGGAGGAGCCAGCACCAAACTCTCTAGATTGGACACGGGCCTGGGCTTGCTACCTATTAGCTATGTGTTACCTTCTGGGCATGTTGCTTAATCTCTCTAAGTCTTATCTTATCTGTAAAACAGAGATAATAAAACCTCCTGGAGGGTGAAGTAAGCAAATCATACTATAAAGCACCTGGGCCCTGAGCCCTCCACACGGGCAGCAGTGATGGCAGAGGAGCCTCTACTGGAGGCTGCTTCAGCTGCTGCCCCGGACCCTGTGAAATATGGTCTTTTCCAAGAACACTGCTAAGAGCTCCCACATTTGTCTGTTTATTCTCACATGAAACTTCCTGTGGCGTATTCTCTGAGTCAGTGCTTATAAGGGATTACTGGGTTGTTTTAACAATGTGTTCTCTGCCCAGTCTCAGCCCTGCTGCCCTAAGCATTAATTTCCCTTAAACGTTTGCCCTCACCAGGCCTGGTGGCACATGCCTTCCTGTAAATCTCAGCACGCTGAGAAACTGAGGGAAGAGGAGAGCAGGTTGCTCAGCCTAGGCAACCTAGCAACTTAGCAAGAACCTGCCTCAAAGTAAAAATAGATTTAAAAAGGCTGGGCATTTAGCTCATTGCAAAGGCTCTGGGCTCAATCCCCTGAACCCAGATCCTCCTACTGTTGCTTCTATTTGTCTTGGCAACATTGCTATGGTACTTCATTCTATCACCTTGAAGATTTTCTTTTCTGAGTTAGTCACCATGTGGATAATTGGTGGGGGGGGTATTAAAATTCATAATTTGAACATTGGTCTGGTACTTGGATTCCAAATTGTCTTGCATTCCTTCCAGATGCTAAGGGATTGGTGACCTGTGAAAAGTAGTTAAGAGCAGGTATGGGATTTACAATTGTGGGAGAAACTTGAAACAATTCAAATGTCTAACAGCAGAATGATGGCTTTAAGAGTCCATGGAGCAATATTATGCCTGTTGTGCAGTGACTTAAAAGGACATTAGTGAAGTGTTTCCAATAAGAAAAATCACGGTCTTGTCTATGACAAAAAGTGTGTTTTCATATATGTGCACACACACATAGATGCACACAGATCCACACTGGGACCTCAACTATATAAAGGCAAGATTAGGAGAAACCCTGCTCCCCACACTCTCCATCTTCTTACTACTATTTCTGATTTTCGCATATTAGCTCTTATTTATTGAGTACATGAATACTAGGCACAATGGTAGACCCTGTGTATATCTTCTTTCTTGCTCTTAGGATATAATTCAAGGTAAATTTTATTCTGACTATACAGATAAGAAAGCTGCAGTACACAAAAACTGGCCAACTTGCCCAATGTGACAAATGAGTAAATGTGAGAGCCAAGATTTGAAGCTATATCTGTTTGACTCCAAAACCCAGGCTCTTTTCACCACACCACACTTTGGAGATGAGGCAGTGCTTTTATGATGCTAAACCCACGTAGCAGACATTGTTAAAAAAAAAAATGTGGTATGAAATTTAAAAATAGTAATGATGAATGCCAAGGTTAGGGATCACTTGGGAGCAGAAATGAATGGAGAGGGCTGCAATCAAGTCCATTGCTTATGAATGCTTTTTGGTAAGTTAGGAAACTGCCTTTTCTGCCTGCAGCCAAGTCAGCCTCACATGAAGGTGTGTGACTCGGGGAGCTGGATGGGGCTCGAGTGAAGCCTCTTTTCCTTTCCACAGAATGCACTGATCTTGTAATCAACCTATGCCTCTGTGCCTGGCCACCATGGCCGCATATCAGAAGCAACCCATGCCCAAGAGACAGACACTGCATCTCTTTCACTCTCTGATGTCACTCCTGTCTCCACACTCCTCACCACTTGAGTGTTTCATGTATGCTGCTCTTCAGTACAACTCTGCTGGTGACAGCAATTTTGCCTTAGGCCTTGAACAGCATATTTATGGGGGGAGGCTTGCAGTGTTCAAGATAAGAGTTACCCTGAGTGCTACCGACCATAGGGCAGCAAACACGGGATTTCACGAGGAGATACAGGTTCTCTGAAACGTGGGAGCAGGTTCGGCGATGACAGTCAGACAAAAGCACTCAACACCAAGGTGAAGTTTGCAAATGCTGCTGCAATTTTATTTCTAACTCTAGGTGTTTATATACTAGTTTCAAGGGTCAAGAGTGATTTTAGGCACAGGCAGGCATGAGAAAGATAGACAATAGTACTGTAAAAACTAAGACCACAAGGTCAAGGTAAGACCACACCTATATACCATCACAAAAGCTAAGACCATTAAGTCAAGGTAAGACCACACCTATACGCAGTCAGAAGGGGAAGTTTGTAAAACAAAGGACTGGCTTCAGCATGTCACCTTCAGGATCACCTTCAGGACTTCACAGTCCGGGGCTCAGGGTCAGCACTTTGGCCGCCCGTCCTCTTGTGCCTCAATACCTCCCCATCTCTAGGAACATCTAATTGTTCCTAACCTTTCCTGGGCCCAGAATACAATTCTACAGATAATGAACAAATAGTAATAAAGACAAAATAGAACAGAATTATAAATGAACCCAATGTCCCCAAACTGCAGGCAGAGAGGCCAGCTATTCTCTTCACGGCTGACTTCGCATGCGGTGTGTGCCAAGGACTTCCAGGAGGCTTAACCCCGTGGGGACGATACCTCTGGTCTGGTTTCTGCCAGGTGACCGGCATTGTCACGCAGACTCCACTGGAGTGGTCGTGGCACCTGAGGACAGAAGACTCAAGAATACAGCATTTAAACCAGATTTCCCTGTGAGCTGGGAACACAAGCCAAAGTCCTCTTTACTTACCAAGGAGCCTTGCAGAGCTTTTCTGCACATCCATGATCTCATAGGTCTTTGCACCTCTCTATTACTGAACACTCAGGCTTAGGGTAACAACCTGTTTGTGTGTCTTTTTTAGCTGTTCGGCTTTTGAGAAGCTCCTTGTAAGCACTTCCTCTTAAACCATAAGCAGGCAACAACCCTGAGATCCCCATGCTAGGGTCGCCATAAGGAGAGGCCTAAAGACTTCATGAAAATAGAAATTGATCCCAGCCGGGGATTACTTTATTATTTGATTTAAAGCTTAAGAATTTCTGCCCTTTTCCCGCAATCTCACCCCACAGTACTGGGAATTAAACCCAGGGCCTTCACACTGAGCTACATCCTCAGCCTCTTGTATCATTCTTTTATTTTGAGATAGAGTCTTACCAAGTGGCTGAGCTTGAATTCACTTCTCCTGGGCAGACTTCATTCCTGGTCAGTAGATGACCATGGGCCTTGCCATGTGGTCAAATCGTATGACTAGAGAAACAGGAAAGCACACCCTTCCTAGGTGCATTTCTCCCTCTAAAAGAAATTAAGGTTTGAAATGAGCAAGCTCAAATCTTTCCACGTTGCTAGGATGAAGGAATTAAAGAAGCAGAGAAAGTCCAGTTGTGTCCTTTCCACACAGAAGAGAATAGGAAGAATCCACAAGAAGCATCATCCCTGAAGATGGAGTCATGATGTGTGCCTCAAACTCAGGTGAAACCTCACCTCAGCCAGCATTTATTAGATGTCTGATGTGAACATCACTCTTGGTAGCGGGCTCCTAATTCTAAGGACCTGCCTGTATTCACCAGGGGACAGGAACACTGTTATCATCAGGAAACGTTCAACACAAAAGCTTTGTGCTGAACCAGGCACTGACATAAAATGAATAATGGCAAGTGTCCATCCCAAAGGAACAGTCTATTCAATGACGGAGATGGGAAACAGACAGAAAATGATAAACCTGTAGCGCCACTTGAGGGCTGCATTCACAACTGCACAGAAATCAAGAAGCAATCAGCTCTGCCTGGGAGGTTAAAGAAGGTGTGCAGAGGTGAGGACAGCAGAGCCAAGAGGAGCAGGAATTTGCCAAGATCAGGGAACCGCCTGTGAGGAAGCAGGAAAACAGGAGAGAGGTAATCACAAGTACAGATGGCAACAGGCCCCTCCCTCTACAGATATTCATTAAGTAACCCTGTTCTCCGTTTTAGGAATTCAATGTTGAATGAGATAGGTGCAATCCCAGGGTGTGGCTGTTTATTATCTCACTCCATATAAAAGAGGGAATAGTAGACGACAAGACTGGAAAGGTAGGCTGGGGCCAAATCATGGAAGGTCTTTAGCATCACTCTATGGAGGCTGGGGCTTACTCAAAATCCATTCCCCATCTGTTATTGCTCACATTATACCGCAGAGCAGCCTCATGAGAGGAACACACCAACCACACCCCTGCTGAGGGTCCAAAGTGTCCAGGCTCATGGTGACAGAAAACAGGATATCCAATAACGCAATACCTCTTCACGTTTTAGAAATTGTAAATCTGCAAGGAGTCTGTTTTACTTTTTCACCAGGCCAAACTATATGAAAAAGAATGAAAACACTAGTAAAATAAACCAAAATTAAAATAAGTGTTTGTAACATTACATTATTTGAAATGTTAGCATTGAAGCGCAGTATGGAAAACTCGAGCGAATCTTTTGAAAATACCATAGGATTCAGTAAAGCCTCAGGGCAGTATCATCTTGGTCGACAGGGAAAAAAGGAAAAGGAAAAAGTTTGCAATGAACTCCAAAGATTTGTCCACATTTCTTATAATTTCTAGGATTCTAATTTTATTTGTTTGTTTCCTCCTTTATCAAGGATCGCAAAATATTTAGAAGCACCCGAAGATTTTTTTTTTTTTAAGGAGCGTGGAGGGAAAAATCAATTTGACAACAAATAGTTATCAGACACTTGTGTATGTTGTGACTGGTGTTACAGCACATAAGAAAGGAACATTGACTCTCTTTGGTGAATATCTAATGTTTAATGCTTACAGTTTAATGAATAAAACTATATCATGCTCACTCTCAATATGTTCCTAAAAAAGAGTTCATTTTAGGTTTTTATAAGAGGAAAAATGGACACGTCTTCACTAGAAATAAGTTAATCAGAAGCAATTGTGCAGACATGTTGCTCAGGTGTTTTATGAACAGACACAACCCTTCATCCAAAGTTATAGTTTTTCCCTGATGCTCAAGGGATGGAATCTTTCTTCGGAAGTGAGAAAAGTATTCCCTTCAGATTGAAGAAACAAACATTGTGATGGGAACTCATGTTGCTGACCTGGAAACATACTGTTTGGCATCATCTTTCTGTTCTGGCTTTCTTCAGCTGCGGGGAGATGAAAAGTGTGGTCTTTGAGGTCCTCATTCCTGTTGTAAGCAAAAGAGACAGGCATTACTACATTACTATGCAGATACTCCGTGGACATCATAGTGATCATTAGAATTCTTCCCCTCTCTTTTTGGGCTCAGGATGAGTTTGAACTTCCCAGAAGTTAGGTGTGGCCATGTGACTTGCTTTAGCCTACTGAATATGAGAGGTTGAGCGTTACAGAATGATTCCAAATGCCTTTCTCCATGAGTCCACTTCTTGGGAGCCAATGACTAGAGGACATCTCTGTCCCTGGGTTAGTTCTATGACCAGGGCCCCTCACAGGTAATAAATGTGTTGCATTAGATCACAAGATGTGTTGCATCCAAACTCGGGGGAATTAAAAAAATAAAGAAAAATGGTGAGGTATATCTTTTTCCCTTAAAGTACAAAGGAAAAGGATAAGAGAGTGCATTCTTAACATATTCAGTTGTGATCTGATCTATCTTGAATATAGAAAGGTGACAGAACTATTTACTTGCTAGTGGAAAGCTTAATATTCTACTTAATATATAAATGCTTCTACGGAAATCTTAGTTCCAAGATGGCGCATGGGAGTCATATTTTCAATCAACCCCAATAAGTAAGTCGTGGCTGCCTGGCAATTTAGTTGAGAAAGGTTATGGTGCTGCATCCAAGCTTGGAAGATCAATTAGTCGCATGTGTATTGTTTCAGGGGAAAAGAACAACAGCCTGTACATCATTGCCAACCTACACCTACCTGAAACATGAGTCATTTGACAGCTTGTCATAACTGCTCACTACCAAAAGGAATGAAATCAACTTGAAAACGCACACATGTGACTGGGGAATACCAAGATACATGCTAGGCAATTTCAGCCCCTCCCTCTTCCTCAAGAGCAACTCAGTGATGTAAGTAAAGCTAACATCTGTGAAAATGGGAAAAATATATCACTCTTGGGCAGGGTGTCTTAACTCTACGTGCCTGGGATTATTAGAGAATAAGCTAAGCTGCCATAACAAAGGTGCCTCAAACACAGTGGCATCGTTTCTCTTTTGTAAAACAGTCCATGAACATCTCTGCCATCCCATCGTGTGGCTTAGCTGGGAATTAAGGTGTCTGCTCCAGTTAACTTTGTCTCTATAGCTGCTGGTAGCTCCAAGAAGTCGTCCAGGGAAAGTGGTGTCACCACTAATAGATACCATCTCCACTCACGGCCCCCAGCGTGGTTCATGTTCAAATCTAGTTTCAAGGAAATCTGGAAAATGTGATCTCCTGCTAGGCAGCATGTGCTCAGTTTAATCTTGGGTATTTGTGTGACTAAAAAGCAGAAGAGGAGAATCTATCGTGGGAATAGTTATCAGTCCCTGTTACTATTCTAAGAGACCAACTTATACCAAAGTAATCAGGGAACCTCTTCATGAAAGAAAGAAAAATAAAAATAGAAAAGAGCCTAAAGTGGTGATAAAAACGAGGGAAAGAATTCCTAAAGTATTCCCTTTGTTAACATCCCTAGTATATCAACATCATGTCCTTTTGAAATGATGCTCATGGAAAGGTGGAAAGGGCATCACCTTGTATTCTCACTCAAAATACATAACAAAAATCTAATACTGGGAAAATATTACACAAACCTAAATTGAGGAATACTTTAAAAATAGCTGAGGGCGGGGATTTAGCTCAGTGGTGCCGCCGCCTGCCAAGAGAAAGCAAGGTCCTGAGTTCAATCCATGGTACCAACAAATAAATAACAATAATATAATAAGAATAGCCAATACTCTACAAAAGTGTCCAGGTCATGAACAAAAAGGATAGGCTGAGGAACTGGCTCAGAATGGAAGCGACAAGGAGACGTAGCTACTGAACACAAGTGGCATCCTGGGTTGAATCCTAGACTATAAAAAAGACATTAGTGGAAAAATCAAACTCTAATGAAGTATGCAAATTAATTACAAGTGTTTCCAACATTAATTTCCTAGTTTGCAACTCTTTTGTAAATTTCACAATGAAAAGTTTTTAAAAATCCTTTTTATGTAGACATTTCCTAGAGAATGCTGATGAAGGCCATGGAGTCAGAGACCAAGACCCCATGAAGATGTCCATTTCCTCTTTTCTGGGCTACTCATTTCTGTTCCTTTTTCTTTCCTCGCCCTTGAAGCCTCAATGGATCATTTCCAGTATAGTTCTCCCCATCCTGCAGGCCATGAAGACTGCTGCAGAGGCTGCCTGGTGCCTAGTAGATTAAATCACACTCCTAACCGTGATATACAACGCCCTGATGGTCTAGTATACACCTACTTCTCTGTTCTCCACTTCTACCACTTCTAGATATTCTCCCGTCCAACCTCACAAAACTTCTGACACATTACAAAGATTCCATTTCTACCCTACCTCCTTCTGACTACCTGCAATGCCTCCCTCAAACTCCCTCCCTTGTGCTTACTGGTGAATTCCTAGGTTTCCTTAGAGACCTGGCCTAAACAGAACTTCCTCTTCAACAATCTCTTTAATGTTTCTTCACAGTACTTTTATTTTCTACCTGCACTTTCTACACACATTTATAGCTCTTATTTTTAATATTGCAGCTCATCTATTCTTTCCTGGTCAGGAACTATGCTTGGTTCCTGGATAACAGAGACAAAAGACAGAATCTGTGCTTCCGATGAGCTCTTGACGGGATGAGTGGAGCTGCGGGGTGAGCCCATCATCCTGGTACACAGTGTCAGCACTGGGCTGGAGAGGTCAACACAGAATTGTTGATTCTCTAGGCAAGAGGAAGCAGGAAGTGTTTCAAAAAGCATCTCCACAAGTTGGTCTCGAAAGATGAAGTGGATTTCCAATTCCCTTTCCATTTAAAGGAATTCTTCTCTGATCTTACTGCTATCCTTCTATATCTACTCAAACTCCAGCTGACCTATCTAGTCCAACAACTTCTCTACACAGTCTTACGAACAACATGCATGCACATGACAAAAATTAACCCATTACTGCTTAAATATGAATGTTGTCCGCAAATCTGTAAGAGAAAAACAACTGCTTATCATGATCTTAGTTACCAATAGATTAGAAAAATTTTGGAAAATAAGTATTATAGCTGATAAAAACATTTGTACTTCAAGGAAAAACACATAAAGCACAGCTTTCAAACTATCTAAGGATAATAAAAAATTAACACTCTTAATGATAAACCAAGAGTGTCTGTCATATCACTTATATTGGTGGTTCTCCAACTGTGTGTCAAGCCACCAGTGATGCTGTTGTGAACAGCCATGGACATGACAAAATATTTAAAATTTTCAGGGAAATACAGGATTATTTAACATCTGTTAGACACTAAGTGAATTAACGGCTGAGAGGAGTTCACAGTTTCAACATCAGTTGCACCACATTCCTTTTGATGATATCATATTTCTATAAAACCAGGTTTTCGGTGGTTTCTGTGATAAAAAGCCAGTACTGAGTGAAAATCTGGGTGAAAAGGAAATGATGGGATGGTTCTGATTCCAAGGTTTGAGAACTCCTTCAGTGCCAGCAGGCACACACATCCCATTAGTGATTTTGGTTATTCAAGAATGAAATAAAATATTTTTCTCTTTCAATTTGTGTTTTATTTTGTGAAACAGCTACTAGATTGTTAGAACATAAATATTATTAAGGTATAAATGGAAGTGTTCAGTATTTCTTTTGGCATAGAGTGCCTTTAAAAAATCATGGGGAAATTAAGGAAGCTGTGAACTGTAAAATTTGAGAACCTCTGACCTACACTATTATTGCATTGACAGTGATATTTCCCTGTTTTATAAATGCTTCATCTGGATATTTTTGGTTTCTGAGAACCTTGTGGACCTTCAAGTGTAAAGACAAAAACATAAAATTCTAATGGAAGGAAACTCCTCCTATCATTAAAGGAAATGTAAAGGGCTTATTCCATTAATTTAGGCTTCTCTGGTGGGTTATTGCAATATAAAATATGCCCATTCTACAGTTCCAGATGCCAAACAACTAGACTTGTCAGTTGGACATCCAGGTTTAGGATCGCTTTTTTGTGACTCTATTAGTTCTTTTTGCACTACTATAGCAAAATACCTGAGATGGGCTACCTTATAATGAGCAGAGATTTATTTTGGCTCATTATTCCTCATTGGGTGACAGCCTTCTTGATAGCAAGGTCCTGAGGCCACTCATGGATCATGCAGCGAGAGACAGGAAATGTGCAGGTGTGTGTGTGTGTGTGTGTGTGTGTGTGTGTGTGTGTCCCTACTCATCTGTTTTCCTCTTCTTATAAAGCCACTAATTTTTAATCATGGTGAGCATATTAACTGCTACAATCAGATTCATGCTTTCAGCCACCCTGTGTATGGTGTTAATACAATGCCAATCCTGATCACATCCTGAAGTATCTGCCTATACCCATTATTATACTCAGGCTAAATTTCCATTTCTTGGTGGGTATTAAGTTTCAACCTATGGACCCCTTAGAGGGACCCATTCAAACTATATCCAAACCACAGTAGTGACTGATCATAACACAGTGAAATGTTTTCTTATGTTTTTTTTCTATGAAACTACTTGCCTCATTCAGGTTTAAACTTACTGCCTTAATCTCATTGGCACTGTGATTGTTGTAAGTGTAACTAGATGAACTCGTCAGCTCTTTTCCAATGTTGCCTTTCCAGACCAAGATATGGAGGGAGTGAGGTTACCAGGGAGGGGAAGGGGAAGTAAAAAGAGTTAATAATGAACACAATAATTATGTACTTCAAACACGTACTAATAAAATATTTTTAATCTTTTTTTCATAAAAAAAATAAAGCTACCCTTCCCATGAAATCACAGGTGAGCATGATCTGCCACAGGACAGGAACATGCTTGGGGTTGGAGTGGGAAGAGGGATACTAAAGGTATTTGTTTCACAAAGAGTAGATTAAGAGCAGTATCTTTTTCCTGTGAAATTGAAAGTAAATAACATTGCAATTTTAACTAAATAGTTGATTAATAAAAGTGTCTGATACTTTTTAAGACTTTGTGGGGGAGGTCAATGATAGAAATGGAACCTAAGGTCTTGGGCATGCTAGGCAAGTGCTCTACTACTGAGCTCTGCCACACCTGGTCCTGAAAACCATTTGTTTGTTTGGCTGGTTGGTTTTGTTTCTGGTACTGAGGATTGAACTCAGGACCTTGCACTTGCCAGGAGCTATGCTGCTGAACTAAATCCCTGGCTGAAAACCCATTTTAAACAATAGACAAGGGGCCAGGGTTAGCTCAATGGTTCCAGTGCCTGTCTTGCAAGCGCAAAGACCGGAGTTTGATCCTCCAGGACCAAAACGTAAATAAACAAACAAACAATAGACAAAATAAAAATTTCAATAGAAGAAAGAGCCTGTGTCCTAAAGAGGCTTAATTCTTTTAAAGCTAAAACAAATAATAATAATAATAACAGTCTTTCCAGATGTGCCTACTTAAACTGGTTAATATAAATACATTATTTTTCCACCCTCACTGTATCAGGCAATTTAGTTACTCATTAGGATTATCTCTGTTGCCAGTCACCCATTCCATACATGTGTCGGCCTTTGCCAGAAACTGCATGGTCTACACAAGGCAACTGGATGGTCTACATATGTCAGATCTGGGCTTCAGATGGGCTTGAATCCAAGCATATCTGCATCTTTCTTGCCCAATAAAGAGAATGTTGGTCACTACCGCAGTGTCTTCTACAGATCAAAGAAAGGCATTCCCCATAAGGCTCAATGACACACAGATTTGGGCAAGCGCTGAAATAGAAAGATGGTGCTCCTCCTTGGTTTAGAAAGAGCTACTCAAATGTCTTAAGAGTATTTGTCATGAGTGGCCACCACGGATGAATTCTAAGCTTGTCCAAATGTTCTTTTTTATCTTGGAACCACACCCTGTTTCTAAAGACTGAGGATGCAAAACAAATGAAGAGTTCATAATTTAACTTTTGCTGGTATCTTTTTTATTTGTGTTCAAACTAAGAGTAGTAGATATTTATGAAAAATTGGTACTGTCTGAGAATAACCTTTAGTTCCCTATAAAATTAGTGCTGCATCGTGTCATCCTGGAAGCCTAGTGTTGAATTTCTTAAAATAACAGAAGAGCGAAAATAATACTCATCAATTAGGAAAAAGTTACTTGGCAAATTCTCAGTTATGCCAAAAATGGCTCTCTGGATTTTAGCAATACAAAACCCAAACTTGAATGACTTAAGTATAAAGGAAATATATCAGACCATATAAATAAAAACACAAAAGGAAGGGGGCATCAGGCAGAACATTATGGACAATGTCTGAAGGCCCAGCTGCATCTTTTATCTCTCTGATTCACACTTCTTCCTTCTCAATATTCGTGCTTTTGTGGCAGCAAGGTGGCCCCAGCAAATCCATATTTACATGTTTGTAATTCAGTTTCAGTAGATAGAGCAAATGTCTCCTTCCAGGAAGTTGTGACAAAAGTCTCATGTGCTTCCTCAGTGCCAAATAGATCACACGCCTATGAATGAGTCTCTGCAGCCGCAGAAGATGATGCTGTGATGGGCTAGGGCCTATGTGACATATAGTACTTTTATCTCTGAGCCAGAAGTGGACTTTGCTCAAAGCTCTGGACTACTGGTGAGTGAGTACCAATGGGTGATGCACAAATGAGCGGGGAAGCATTAATTAAAGGAGGAAAAAATGGAAGAAACAAGATGCCAAATATTCATTTTTGAAGTAACGTCCTCCCCCTTTTCCAAGAAAGGACATGGCAAAGAGATGGTCTTTATAGAATTATGTCTCAAAACAGCCACCTGGCCTGCATTGATCAATTATTGAAAAATAGCGATAGGAAGCGAGGGCCAAGAAGAGTTTGACAACAAGATCTCTGGATGACTAACTGTTTGCATGTACTGATTTCCATGGTGTAACTATTCCCACCATGGTCTCGAGCTACCAACATGGTAGCCCTGACTGTGGGTTTGGGAGGAGATGAGCTGTTATGAATGCACATTGGCTCCAGCACATCACTGGAAATAAGTGATGTTCATAAGAATTTTTAAACGTTATTATCTTTCTTATGATTCCAAAGTAACCAGCAAAATCTCTCAAAATTTTCCAAATTAAGACATAAGTAAAAGTCAAGATAAGGAGGGAGTCAGTTACAAGAAACAGCTTTACCACCAGGTCAAAAGTATACATATTTTGATATTTTTGATGAAAACCACACAGATAAATCCGTGACTTGGTTGGTCATATAGCTACATTAAAATAGCCTTCCTCACTACATAAAATTTTGGGGGGAAACGGCAATTATGTGGCTGCCATTGCCTCTGTCCCCATGAAATGCTATATAGTCAGGCATTTCTACACACAGGTCCCCTGAGAAGTCCCGGACTCCTCAAGGAGGTCCCTCAGGCTCAAACTCTCTGACCACAGAGGACACATCTGTTTGTTGATATTTCTTCTAGACTGCTAATTACAGGAACCCTATACTTTCCACTCTGGTGAATGAACCAAGACAAGGCTACCAGTCAGCGCTGTGGTGCAGAACACAGGGAGCTTGTGGAGAACAGGGAAATGACCACAATGGCCAGGACTAAGGTAAAATTCTCACTGAGAAAACAGTGTAAAGGTTTAGGTTCGTCTCGCCCTTTGCAGGCACACCATGTGGAAATGACATGACATACCCTTGGATTCTTCTGGGAATAAGAATAAATTGCCTTTTCACATTTTTTTATTAAAAACCCACCTTTCCATACCATGATTTTGAGTCCAAGTCTCACCTACTGGACTTCGTAGGACTGACTAGTAACTCCCTTGGTTCGCCTCCCTCTTGTCATGTTGATACCTGCCAAAGGGTCATCTGGATTGGAGTACAAATCAGTTAAGAGCACTTGTTAGGACATACACACAATATAGGAGGACTGTTCAAACATATCCCCCCCTCCCTTCTTTTCAGTGAAGATGGGTAGTTTCCTGGGTTTCCCAAATGTATGTACCTTGGCACATACAGATTCCACAGCACAGTAAAATGTATGTACCTTGGCACATACAGATTCCAAAGCACAGTAAAATCAACAAATTCTTCCCTACATGTCTAAGGGGGCCACATAACTTTTAATGGCTAAACAGCAGATTTTAAAAAATTATAGTGTATATGAGAATGTCATCTGGGGAAGACCCTGAGTTAAAATATCTTTCACTTATAAAAGATAAGGTTCTTAGTATGTCAAATTGCCTAAAATATCCATCCCAGCTCTCCCAACAAAGTTGGAGTCAGTCTCCAAAGTATTATTAAAATAACTTACATTCATTTCAGGCTTCCTTTGTGCCAGGAATCAAGCTACATGTTTACAAGTATACTTAAAATGATGGTCAAAATATCTTCACTCTCCCAGCAACCCTCTCATGAAGTATACTCTTTGTCCCCATTTCATAAACAAAGAAACTGAGGCTGAAAAATATTCAGTGATTAAAAGGAAGGTCACAAATCTAGTACATTTCAGAGCCAAATACTGAAATCTGAGCTCTTAATTATACTGAATTTCCCACTCAATTTCTCAGACCAGCAAAGTACAAAGAAAGAGTAAGAATGAAGGAAGGATATTTGGTTGCAATATGGCTATAAACATGCAGATGCAACACTGGGGTGTCGCTCAGTCATAGAGAATTTGCTTGGCATGCATTGGACCCTGAGCACCTCCACGGCCCACACACCCTCCTTGAATTGCCTCAGACCCCTCCTCTTCTGCTTTCTGGGTTCCTTGAAGGTCCAGCCTACTCTCCCAGAAGGCAGGGGCTGGCTGGTCACCTCCTGGGGTAGGAGAGGCCCAGTCAAACCCCTGTCCCTAGAGAAGGACCAGGGGATGATGGAATTTAAGGACACACTTATGGGACTGGCACTTAAGGGTATGAATTCTTTTTGTGTGGGGGGAGGATTCTGAATGACCTGGGGCAGGTTCTGGGAGTGGGCATTACAGAGATGTGGGTACAAGTGTATGAAGGGGACACAGACTGCCCTCCCCAACCTGCAGGTCTATGGGGTACAAGGTCCCAAGGACCTGTGCATCCCTTGTACACACATACAGGCAGCCAGCACCATATACTCCCAAAAGGCTAGGCCTCATCTGGAAAGAGGACACCAGTAGGGTGGGCTGTCCCAGGAGAATTCACCCCAGTCAGACACAGGCTGGTGGCTGTCAGGTGGTGAGTGCAGGAATGCAGACAAATAAATAAAAACAGGATGATCTCTTCAACCTTTAAGTAATTCTTACTATTACTATTATTATTGTCATTATATTTGTATAGCATGTTAGAATCTCCACTTAGGTTAATCATCATGACAAGCCTGGAAAGTAGGAGAAAAAAATTGTGATTTTTCATTTTACAAACACAAAAACACAGGCTCAGTCAATTCTTTATAAAAACAGATCATTTGGATAATCCCCTACTCTAGTCACTGGAAAATATGAAGATCTTTGAAGTTTATTTTGTAATCTAAGATAGCCATACTATCAAAATCAGAAAAAGGAATATCATATACAAATTTCACTTGCAAATCTAAACCAAATATTTTCAAATAAACATAAGCACAGAAGTTCCAAATAAAATATTTGGAAATAAAATCCAGCAGAATATAAACTAATTGCACACTATGACTCCTTAAACTATTCCCCAAGAATTCAAGGATAGTTCAACATAAGGAATGCTCAACACAATATAGCATACTTTCAAATTCAAGTAGGAAAAGTAATTACAATGTCAGCTTCCCAAAATATGTTTGCAAAAGCTCAGCAACCATTTCTGGTAAGTTAGGAGAAAAAACAATCCATGTTATCTATTATACTTTTTTATTTTTATTTGCCCTTTCAGTTTCTCACACCAGAGAAACAATGGAGGATGGGAAAAGGGGGAAAAAAGAAAAAAGAAAGATAAAATAGCAACACAGATTTTGTAAATATGGAGGGGAAGAGGGCTGAAGGGAGATGAGAGGAAAGGGAAAAATAGCAATCAAGATATATCATGTATAGGTACAAAGTCCATATGATGAGTGTGATCATGATGTGTGTGTGTGTGTGTGTGTGTA